ATCACATTGTAGATACTGATGCAGGGTAAAAAGTATGTTTTTATCCTCTACTTGTTGTAACAAAAACTTTCAAAGTGAACGGCTAACATCTGTTTTATTTAATAAATAATTACCTTAACGTAATATAAACTTCCTTTTAGTACCTACGCAAAATGCACTTTTAGAACAAAGTAGAAATCTGAATAGTAACTAATATTTTAAACTTTACATCTCATTTGTTATGATTTTAGATTTTGTTTATAAAATAAAGGTGAGTTTATTATGAGTATGTGAGGAAATCTGATAGGTAACTGGCAAGGAATTTATGTTTAAAACCCGATGAAATGATTTTAAGTGGTTTAACGTTGTATTAAGAGAAGAAACCATCAAATTATAAACTTATAATATCTTCTTGATTACGGCTTTCGCTTATTAAGTTGAATGTTAAGATTAATAATTGAGTTAGTATGAATGGTGTTTGGTTCGTATATTCGGGTGGGGAGCGCGCGCGGCGGGCGTAGGGTTGCCGAGAGTCAGTCGATCATCACAGTCGCGCAAAACGTACGAAGTCCGCATACGTTAGTGAAAAAGCAAGGAGGCGCACGCGCATGCGATTTCCGTCTCCGTTCTTAGTCCTTGCAATAACAATGCTTATTTAAAAAACTATTCCTCAGTGACACAGTGCTTGTTTTATAGAATCAAGACGATAACATTTTCAAACGTTGTGTAGTTAAGCATTTTATGATAAGGTATTTCTTACGATTTGCGACTGCGGTGAGTTTCGAATTTTTATTGCATCTATTTCTGCATATTAATTGAAAGGCTTTGGTATTTTTTTAATGAAACGTATAATTTAAATGACTACGAAGAATAATATAAAGGCACACTAGTGTATATTTTTATAATTAGGTATTTAGAATCCAACAATCGAGTCCGATAAATAAAGTAAAAAACTCACATAAAAACGCACAATGCTTAGCGAGTACTATGTGAGGCTTTTACTCTATGAGTTTTAGGTTTTGTTTTGTTCCCGGTTGAGAAAATCTTAATATACAAATCAAATTGCCACAGTTAAAGATAATACGAATGTAAAGAGTAACTAAAATCTTTTACATTAAAATGTATTCGAGCTTTTATATTTATTTTACCTATAAATAATCCATTATTGTGTCATATAGATGTAGTTAGTGCCTTCGTATTTTACATTTCTCTGTGACGTATACTCCTTTGTTAAGACAATTAGACATCAAACACTTCCTTTTCTATTGTAGTGTTATCGAGGCTTCATTTAACGACGCACTAATTTAGACTGAATGCGTAATTCTGTTGTCTTTTTAGTAAGATTAATTTTTATTTTATTCTAATCACATATTAAAAAATGTCAGTGAATAAATACAAGAAAATTGATTAGTCAAATATTTGCATATACCATTTTACCCCAGTACACTCAAACGGACCCGTTTTTAGAATGAGCCACGAGTAACCATTATCTCGTACCAGTTCTTGTACACATATCTTTTAATTATTCATAATGAGAAGTGATATTCTATGCCTATTTTGTGTAATATTAACAATAGCGTTAAAATGAAAACTGTTGTTGTTTGTTTGTATATTCGTAACTATATATCGATGATTACATCGTTTTAATAACTTATTAATCGTTTTTGACAAAGACAAATATTATACATACATATTTACATTACTTAATGACTTGTAATAACCGTGGGTTTCCGAGTCCAAAATCTCCATTTCAAACATCTCTCTGTGTTGTCAAATATAATGACAGGGATGGCGATATGTTTTATACAAGAATTTTGGTCAGAAACCAAATGTAAATATAAGTAGTAAAACTTCTTTCATTGTTTTTATATGATGAATTGTTTTCCGATTCATTTACCATTTGTCTTTTTAATTAATTTAATCCTAACAATTTTCTCATAATTCTAAGTTACAATGTTATTTTTACAGTGCAATTTTCCACGGTATAAGTAACTGCTGTACTTTTAGTCTTAAATAATCATTATTTATCACCAAAACCTATCTATTAGTTAATCGATGTTTTATAACGTAACTAGATGTCGCCCGTGACTCCGCACGCGCGGTATTAAAAAATATTAAATTAGTTTCTTTCAGGCTATGTTCTATGTTCGTTCTACATGTATGCCAAATTTCAGCGATATCCTAGTTGCCATTTTGGAAATACCTTCTAACAAATATCCATCCATCTATCTTAACATTCGCATTTATAATATTAGTTAGATATTTATAAATAATTCAATGATCGAAGATGTAATTAAGATTCATTAGACCACAAGTTCGAATGCAAAAAAACGGGTCGTTCTTCGCAGCAAATAACTAAAATATATTTCATTGTAATTACTAATATATGTAGAGTCTGCTACTGGATTATTTTTGTGTAATTTTTACTCACAATATTACTTTAATTTCTTATACCGCCAATTCTACAATTATCTTACTAATAGATGGATGGATGGACGTTTAGTTTAAGGTATCGAGAACGGCTGTAGGGATCTCGCTAAAATTTTGTATAGACGTAGAACATAATCTGGAAGAACAAATAGGCTACTAATTATGTTTTTTTTAAATTTGTGGCGTGACGGAGTCGTGGGCGACACGTAGTAATTAATAAGTAATATTTAATTTGGTAATATATGTAAGTATAATTTGTAATTCCGAGGGTTTTCTGAGTTTAAAGCTAATGGTCAAAGTTCATTATTAAGAAGCGGCCACGTTTAGGATTCACCTTAGTAAAACCACAAGGAATATTTCTTTACAAGTGTTATTTCACGCAGCAAATTTTTCACACTTTTTTATACTTTGGGTGTTAATATGATATCTTAATTTAGAAGTGTTAATTTATCGTTAGGTGATATGTGTTTATAGTTTGTTTTGTAACGCATTTCATCATTTTTAATATTTAGAAAAGTAATAAATAAATATGTAGAGCTCTTCAAAAATTTTTGACTTTTATTGGCAAACAAGCGGTCGCCCGCGACTCCGTCCACGCGCATTAAAAAAACATAATAAATAGTTTATGTGTTCTTCCAGACTATGCTCTATATCTATACCAAATTTAATTGAGATCCGTTCTCAAGATACCTTCAAACAATCATCTATCCATCCATCCATCCATATAAACA